GGGGGGGTCCTCCTCCCCGCCCGGTACCCCGGCTGTCACCGCTGCCGGTGGCACCGAATAAAGCCCTCCCCTCCCCCCCCCCTTCCCGAGCGGACACCAGCGAGCAAGTGACAAAGCTGCCCCGAGCCCCGCACAAACTGGCCTCCCCCCTTCCCTCCGCCCGTGGGGCATGGGGACAGCGTGCCCCGAGTGCCGGCAGCGCGGGGAGGGGAGGGAAGGGAGGGAGGGGGCACTTCAGCCTTCAGCACATCCGTCAACCCGCCCGTGTCCTCCCCCCCCCCCGTCCCCTTTCACGCACACCCCACACCGCACACGCCAGTCCCGTGTGTCCCCCCCCCTCCGCCCCACGGAGCGGGGCTGCTTTACCGGGGTGAAACGAAACCCCCCGAGGAGGGAGCGAAGAAAGCACACCCTGCCCCCCACTCTCGCCTAACCCCCCTCTTCTCCCTCCCTCCCTCCTTCCCTCCCTCCCTCCCTCACTAGCTGCCTCTCTCCCCTACTACAGCCATAATGAATACTGTACATTCCTAAATGTTGTGCTGTAATCTCTCCCTCTCTGTCCACCCAGCACTTTCTTCCGTACCCCGAAACCCTTCCACCTCAGCCCCACGGCCGGGGCCGGCCCCCCTTTGTGCACCGCACACCCCACTTCCCTGCCCCCGCCTTCTTGGCCAGCAATTTACACAGAAAAGCAGAGTCCTTGCTTAATAAGAGGAGCTGGAGACCTTTTGTTCCGCCCCATGACAAGAGCTAACGCTGCAGATCAGCCCCTCTCTCTCCTCGGATCTCTCCTCCCGGCTTTCTCCCTCCTTTCACCTCCCAAAAATAAAACTACCATCCCCGTGGGGTGCAGAGGGGCAAACGGAGCCGAGGCTCAGCTCTGAAGAAAAGAAAGGGAAAGACACCCTCCCCCCCGCCCCCCCGAGCCCCATACCACACACACGGACACACACACACACACGGAGAAAGCACTTACCTTGATATTTGGCGTCAATTTCCCTCATCAAGGAGACATTTCTCTGCAGATCGAAGGGCATGGACTCGATGGAGTCCAGATAATCCTCCACATAGTTCACTAGGTGAAGCTGGTCTCCGTTTGCAGGACTCAACATTTTCATCCGGCAAAGGAAAAAAAAAAAAAATATCCTTCCCCACACCTCTCTCTCCCTGTCTGTGCGAGAGCAAGTGCTGCTCCCTCCAAAGACGGTAACCCCGATGAACGGCTCACTCCCTGCCCACCTCTCTCTGTAGCTCCCCCAAAACCCGAGAGAAGCTACATCTGACTCCTCTTGTGTGAAACGGAGAGAGACACACACACACACCCTCCGCCAGTCCCCTACAGCCAGCAGCAGCTGATTGAATGGCTGTCGTTGTGGGTAATTCACGAAGGAGGTGGTAGGAACAATCAGAGGGATTTGTGTGTGTGTGTGTGTGAGGGGGGGGAGGAGGAGGAGGAGAAAGGAGGGGGGCTTAAGCCAGCTCCTCCGAAACAATCTGGAAACAAAATGTGCTCTGCAAAGTGTCTGTCAGAAGCAGCGGCAGCCCCTCTGCCTGCGCCAGCGCCGCTCCGCTCCGCTTCTCCTCCGCTCCCCCCTTCCCCGCTCTCCTCACCGCCGCTCCCCGGCGATCCTAACGCAGCCTCCTCGCTCCCATACGCCGCACTTGATCCAACGTGGAAAACCCAAATACCAGTTTCAAACACTTGGGAAACATTCAGCCCCGCCACGCACGGCGCATGCGCACCCCTCCCAGCGCTGTGTACACACACACACACACACACACACAGGCACACTCGCCGCGCGCGCACACACACACACTCTCCCCCTCCCCCGCCCGGAACCGCGGCGGGGCCAGCGTTTCTCTGCATATTCATCGTCCCTCCTCCCCTTACTCACGTTTGGGGAGGGAAGGCGGTAGGGGATGCGGTCGTTAGCGAGGGGGTGGGCGGCTCGGTGCCGGCAGGGCCGGGCCGGGCCGGGGGAAGGTGGTTGTGGTGGTGCGGG